GTGGAAGGTGTCGGAGGTCGGGCCTGGGGCAGGTCCGGTGGTCCGGGTGGAATCGCCGTTGTGGAAGGTGTCGGAGGTCGGGCCTGGGGCAGGTCTGGTGGTCGTGGTGGAGATGGAGTTGCCATCGTCGTGGAAAGGAGCTGCAGTCGTATTATGTGAGCTGGTAGTCAGGACTGAAGTGCCAATGGAAGTTGGAGACGCAGCCGGGCTGGGGTCAGAGCCTATGCTGCTGGCTGGTTTCATAGGAATGGATGTTGGGCTACTTTGGGTAAGATGTGTGTCTGTATTGCTGCTCTGGGCGAAAGTTGTGAAGTTACCGGCAAAAGCTATAAGAAATTGAGGTCACAGGGTTCAAGTTGGAGAACAAATAAGAGCCGGAGAAAATACAACCTCTACCACCAGAGTAATGCCAGAAGGATTTGGGGACTATGCTGCCAGCTCAGCAGCATTAGGCAGCACCTGGGTGGGCCCTCCTTCTCCATCCTCCAGGCAGCCTCCCTTTCTCTTCTGAGCCCATTCCCCTGACTTACACTCTTAACTCCCTTCCCCTTCTCCCCAGACTTCTGTCCGGAACAATCTGCTGTCCCTGACACCCACTTTTTCTTCTCAGCCTGTGCTTAGCTCTCCCTTTCATTCTGGTCCAGACTGGGCCACCCTGTCTACAGCTCCTACCTTTCATGGTGCCATCTGCTAAGAAGCCCACAGAAACATCACAACATCGGGAAGTTACATGAGTAGGGCAAAGCCTCACATACAACTTGTACCCCTTACCTGTGAGCAATAGTAGGAGGAAGAAAGGGGCCTGGATGCACGGTGCCATGGTGGATTGGGTAGGGAGCGGGCAGAACCAACTCAGGCAGTCGCTGTGTGAGGTGACGTGAGGTGGAGCGGGCACAGGCGCCTGCTGCTTTATACCGGTCCCCCGCCCTAGGCCCAGCAGGAGCAGGTGACAAACCACCTTCTCCTCCCCCTTTCCCTACCTCTTCCTCCTCCTCCTCAACTATTTCTGGTCCCTCAGATACCCGGGCTCCAATCACTCAACCCTCTGACAAAGTATTTGTTTTCCAGCTGGTTCTCCCCTTTTCACAACCACTCCCTAATTCCAGGAGGTTGTGTGTGTGTGTGTTTGTGAGAGAGAGAGAAAGAGACAGACTGAGAGATGGGGTCTGGAACCTGGGTCCCCATGGCTCTAGTTTTGTTCCTAGGGTAATAGTGTGAGCGAAGAGAAAATGGGGACTAAGGTCCTGTACAGCCAGGTTCAGAAGCCCACCTCTAAAACCTTCCATTTCACTTCCCCACTCTTGCTGAGTTTATGGAAGCCCCATTCTGAGGGCTGAGAGAAAAAAGTGAAATGGTTTAATAATTAGTGAACTAAGTATTATTTGTGGGCTCCCTCCCCTCTACCACTTCCCGGAATAGCCCCACCCTTCTAACCGATCCTTGTCCAGTCCTGTTCTACGTACGGTTTTACCCTGAAACCCACAGTCCCCGCCCAGGCTGGACTCTCCAATAGGCTGGGTCTCTCCTTGGCTTTCTCCCTAGTAGGAGGCGGGGGAAGAAATTTCTACGTAAAGGAAGAAACCTGTGATCCGTAGAACCCTAGGTTCTTTCTTTCCCAGCCTTTCTTTCACGTTCCAGCGGGGCCAGCCGGCCCGTCTCTCCTGCCCTCTAGCGGTCACGAGGAGCCTCGCGGGCTGAGAGATTGGCCGGAGCCCAGGGAAGCAGAGGTTGAGCGGTGCTACCTAAGAGGGGGTCGGCGAGAGCAGCGGAAGGCTGGGCGGGTCAATGTCTTGGGCAGAGGACAATGTATTGTACGATGATGGGGATAGGAGCTTCAGGAAGGGGATCCTGGTGTGCGTGGGGGTGGTGTCCTGAAGAAATGGCGGAGTGGGTGGGGTCTTGAGGTAGGTGACAAGGGTATCAAGTAACGTGGGAGAGGACATCGGAATGTAGGAGGGGGACTGGGGCTGAGTATGTTGGGGCAGTTACGTAGTTTTGAGGCAAAGTAGGTGGAGCGCCAGAACGATATCCGAGGGCAGTTAGGGGACAGAACTAACATTTGGAAAGTAACTAGGTATTCAGGGAAGGTAGGTTTTTAGTGGGGGCAAAACTAAATATTGTTGTTGTTAAGTGCCGTCAAGTCGATTTCGACTCATAGCGACCCTGTATAGGCTTTCCAAGGAGCAGCTGGTGAGCTTGAACCAGCTTTGCAGTCTGACACATCAGCCCACAGCGCTACGGGCGCCGTTAATTTTAGTCCTGGTGTGACGCTGTAGGATAAACACTGGAATGCTAACCGCAAGCTTACCGCTAGATTGACGATTCAAACCCACCAGCCGCTCCTCAGAAACCCTATACAGGGTCCATAAGTCGGAATCGATTCGATGACACTTAACAACATGAGAGGGACGAGAGGACCCAGTCTGGTGGTCCCAAGTTGCGGTCCAGGCTGAGGGAAATAGTTATGTCTCTAAGTGTTGTTAAGTGCCATCGAATCAGTTCCAACTCACAGTGACCCTGTATGGAGTTTCCGAGGAGCCGCCTGTGGGTTCGAACCGCCAACCTTTTGCCGCCAACCTGTGGCTAGCAGTCCAGTCCTTATTCTACATCGCCACACCAGAATGACTGTATTAGGAAAACAATTTTTATCCCCAACTAATACAAATTGAAAAATAATACTTTTAAAAACCCTTTCTTGAGGCCCGACAATGAAGGAAGAAAACCTCATCAGAAAGCAAGGGACCACTGCTCGAGTCCGCGTGGGGCTAGAACTGATTGGCGCAGCTTTGTGCTGGGAAACCCGGGGGGCGGGCTCAGGGTAGGGGGTGGGGCTGACGTCAGCGCACCAGGGTGAGAGGCGGGGATTGCCCCTCCGGCCCCCTTCCGCAGTCTAGAGAAAGCACGAGGATCTAGGTGGGCGGCCCCAATCCCCAGCCCTCGGTGTTGCCAGGCAACATCCATTCAATTCGGTTGCTGGGACACGCATTACCATGGCGACAGTTCCGCCGCCGCGCAGTCTGAGTATTTAAAGAGCCAGCGCGCGGACCCGCCCGGGCGTCAGAAAGCGGCCTTCCGGGATACTGCGGTTTATTCGTTTCTCACCCCTTTTACCCCATTCCAGGCGCCAAATCTCTCTGACTTTTGAACCCACCTCTCGGATCACCCCCGTTTCTCAGACTTGTCCGGCTTCAGACGGTGGGGAGCGGGATCCCGGGCCCCGGGCGGGCGGGAGGGACGGGACGCGGTGCAGTGTTGTTCTTTCCCCCGCCAATATTGCACTCGTCCCGGCCTCCGGCCCCCCCGGCCCCCCGGCCTCCCCCTCACCCCGAGCGGGGCAGCTCCCGCCCTCCTGGCTTTCGACCCTGGCTGATCTAAAACAGACTGGAGTGTTGCTGCTGCCACCGTAAGTAGGATTGGGAGGGCTTTAGCCATCGTAACCCCATTCAGCACCTTTCACACCCGTGCCAACCTTCCCCCAGATCTCTTACTTTCATTCTACCAGCTCTTTCCCTTATCGCCCCCAGATTCCTTCCTGCTCCTTGTACTATCCTGGCAAATCCCTAAAATAAGCAATTGCACTGAGTTAGAAAACAACTGGTACTTTATGGCAGTGTGCTATTATATTATCTTTCCTGGGGTGAATGCCTGAGAAATACCCCATGAAAACTTCCCATTCTCAGCCCCTCTGGAGCAGAACTTCTGGTGGATACCAAAGAGGGGCTATTTGGCTGAGGGACTGTATGTAGATCAGACTTCAGGATGGACCCCAAGGCCAGAGGGCCTGAAATCAGGGTTCTGAATCCAGTGGCCACATCCTCAAACTCTTCCATGCAGCAGCTGTCTCCGGAGTGGCTCAAAGTCCTCCGGCACTGTGTCTGAGTAAGGGGAAATGAGAAAGGTCAGAGGAGACCATCTCCCAAGAGAGCAGGGAGAGCAGGTTTACCTCCATCTAGAGTCTCACCATTGCATCTATACTGGAGATTGGACCAAATGATGTTTTCTTGGGAGAAGCAGAATACACCGAGACGCCCCCCTCGCATGGATGTGTCAATGATCACCCCAGAATCGGCCACTAGCTGGGGACCCTCATAGAGCTTCACTCTGTACAGGAAAGGGGTGAGCATTGGTGCCACCATACCCTGCTTGTCCCAGCCCCCACTTGAGTTCACCAGGCCAGAGAGGGGAGGGGAGGGAGAGGGTGAATGGAGAGGGTAGGGAAGGGGGTGCTTTTCTCAGGCCTGGGGCCTCTGGCTCTTTGTCCAGCCCCTTTTGCATCTCAAAGAACAAGCCGAATTTCTGGAGAGGATTGGGTTGCCATGACGATGAGCACAATGGGTTGGGGGTGAAGTCACCCGCTTCCCAGGCTCTAGTCCACCCCTCCCTTATTCCCAACCTTGGCCCCCCACAGCCCCAAACACCTTAAAGGGGAACCAACCCAGATTCCTGGACTCTGGGTTCTTGGCAATGGAAAGTCCAGCCTCCAGGCAAACCTATTTCCCCTCCCTTCCCTGTTACCAGCTTCCAGCAGTTAACAGTCCCTGCTCCCCACCAACTGGGGGCACTTGTCTGAGAGAAATGCAATCTTGTGGACAAAAATGCTGAACCAAGAGGCCTCCGCTGTTGCTACTCAGAGCTGGGAAGTCTGGACCTGGGTTTGTTCTGTAAATGATGAACCTTTTCAGGTCACACTTAATGAGGCACATGACCGTACCAGTGAAGAGGCTGGATTGGATGGGCCTTTCCACAGACTGGCCTGGGGTTTGGAGAATCCTAGAGAGACTCATGCATTTAGCTTAACACCCTCATTTTACTGGGGTGGGGGGTGGGGGGCGCGGGGAGAGGACTACAGAGGAGGAAGGGCTTGCCCAACATTGCATATATGTCCTCCTTCAGCAGCACCAGCCAGAGTCCAGGCTGTCTAATGTTTGGAGGAAAGCAGAGCTGTGTGTGGTGAGATGGGTAATGGAGAAAGTCGCCTCAGTTTTGCCCATGGTACCAGAGGTGATGTCACCAGTGAGTTTCAACTAAAGGGGAAGGAAATGTGAGGCCTGGGATCCCCCCAGAAGGGATCAGTTCCTCCCCTTACCGAATGTAGCCAACTTGAGGCCGGTGCAGCAGCTGCCAGCGATAGGAGGTCTTGTCGCGCCAGCCCACATTGCGTGGGTCAGTCCACAGTAGTCGTACCTGGTCAGGGGTGTGGCCAGTGTGCCACAAGGCATTCCGGAGGTGTTCTCCTGGCCCAGACACTGATGTCACTGCCTGGGAGCAATGCCAATGATAGTGGGTCAACTACAGGGCTCATAGGAAGGGGAAACAACAGGTGGTAGGGAAGGGGTCAGGATGGTCAAGAGCAGACCAGGCAGTGGGGGAGGTCCTCCTAGTGTTAGTGTTAGAGGGGACACTTGGGAAACAGTTTTGGGCCAGGGAATCTGGGCAACTGGGGACCTTGAGCTGCAGTCCAGGCTGGGCAACGGCTCGGAAAGGTGTGGCCTGCCAGTAAGTCTGCTCCGTCTGCTTCCACATGACCACATAGAAGCGACCACTGTCCTGGTAGCTGAAGAGAAAGCCTGCATAGTCATCGTCTGTCACTGTGTTCACATGGAATGTGCCTTCAAAGTCCACGCCGTTGAAGGCTGTGTATCCTGGGAGTAGGGGGTAAAGTTGGGGGCAGCAAAGCTGCTGATGGCAGAGAAGAACAGGGCCCATGGTGGGGTGGGAAGGGAAGGGAAATCAAGTCTGCTCTATGTGGCCAGCTAGCTCCACCGCCTGCTCTCTTCCCCTTTGCCCATCCTCCCTGTCCATTTTTGCCTCTACCCTCTG